TATTAAGACCATTAAAACAGAAAAAAGAAGGCAAAATTATGTAAAAAAAAAATAAGCTGTTATTGTCTTAAAAGTCAATTTTAAAAAGTCAAAAACAGTGTTAAAACTACTTCTAATTGATTTCACTTCACTGATGAAAAATGTGTAGTGTAGGTGAAAAAAGCGCAAGAATATTTATGCAAATACAGAAACGAAGACGGGCGAAAAGACGTAATTTTAACAATAACTACATTTCCCAGAGTGCATTGCGAAAGAAACCGGAAACGCGAGAAAACAACAGTCAGCTGACTAGTTTCAGCATTCTGCAGTCCTCAGCTGCTTTTTAAAGGTCTTTCTTGGAGTATTTTCAATAATTTTGGACAAGTTGGTGGAAAAGGACAGCGATGTTGAGACCGAAAGCGTTGACGCAGGTTCTCAGCCAGGCGAACACCTGCGGCGTCCAGAGCACCCTGTGAGTCCGGAGTTAGCATCGAGCTAACAGGAGTTAGCATCGAGCTAACAGGATGCTAACCTGCTCAAACACATTTTTACGGTTCTTGTTTGCTTTAAAGTTTACCTGAATACTACAGTTAATTTTTTTATTGTGTTTAATCATAAATCCTCACATCTTATTAGGAAAATTGTTATTTTTAGGCATTTAAAAAAACAAACAATTATTATCAATTCAAATGCCAAAAAGCAGTTTTCTGTCATTTTACAACTCAAAGAACAGTCGTTAATTCAAGCTTTAATAAAGGTTAAGTAATTTACTTCATTATTTGCACTTTAGTTAATTAGAATAGATTAGAATTAATCAGTTTATCTAGATTGTGGTTACATTTGAATCATTGTTTAGTTTAAAAGTTCCATTTTTTATGTAGAATCTATCAAACGAACATGTTCGTGAAGATTTTCTGTACAGTTAACTGTATAATTACACAGGTCTGATCAGGTTCTGTTTTAATCTGATAAAAACATGTTATATGTATGTTTTTATCCTCCAGCCTGCTGAACAATGAAGGGTCTCTCCTGGCGTACTCCGGTTATGGAGACACCGATGCTCGAGTGACGGCTGCCATCGCCAGCAACATCTGGGCCGCCTACGACAAGAACGGCCACCAAGCCTTCAACGAGGACAAGCTCAAGTTCATCCTCATGGACTGTATGGTGAGAGGCACTGCTGTCATTTACACACAAAGCACTTTATTAAAGGCTAACTATATTTCTGTCTGCTGTCTTGTCTTAGGAGGGAAGAGTGGCCATCACTCGGGTAGCCAACCTGCTGCTGTGTATGTACGCCAAAGAGACCGTGGGCTTTGGGATGCTTAAAGCCAAGGTGAGTTTTGGCACTTTATTAAAGTTCTCACTTAACAAAAACTAAACTAGAACCACAGGTGGCATTAATCTGTCTTAGGACATAAAAATGAGCGGCACGACGGCTCAGTGGTTAGCACCAACGCCTCACAGCAAGAAGGTCCTGGGTTCGATCCCCGGTTCGGACCTGGGGTCTTTCTGTGCGGAGTTTGCATGTTCTCCTCGTGCTTGCGTGGGTTTTCTCCGGGTACTCCGGTTTCCCCCACAACACAAAAACATGTACAATAGGTTGCCTTCAGGCCCAGGCCGCCCTTGAAAAAGAGATCTGAGATCTCAATGGGATTTGCCTGGTAAAATAACAGTAAATAAATAAAATATAAAAAAAAAACAAATCATCCGTGTCTGATCAAGTCTTTCCTCAGCCGCTAAGTTAAAGAGATCCACGATTAGTTGTAAGATTAGATTTTATTTAATAAACATATATTTTAACTGTAAAATAAAGACTGTAAAAATACTGTCGGATGTTTAGTAGTGATGTGTTCTTCATTGTCGAGGCTTCGAAGCGTGTGCCGATTAATAGAGGAGGATTTTTGTGGAGCGCGTATCGAGGCTTGTGTTGGTGATGTTCGAAGCTTCGCTGGCGGTCGCACCACGTGACTGATTCAGGAACTGGTTCGCCTGTATGAGCGAGGTTCAAAAGAGGCAGTAAACGCTGCTGAATCTCCTGTATCGTTATGTTGTCATGAAATTGTGTTGCGTGCATTTAAGTTATTCAGCTGAGCGACTTTTTGTCCGATGGAACCATCAAGGAAGAGGAAAATTTCCCTCTGTCTCCTACTAATAATACTAATAATAATAATAATAATAATAATAATAATAATAATAAATTTATGCACGCAGTATTAAACATTGCTGATAACTACCAAAATATCAAAAAAACTGAACACAGTGGATCGTGAGTTCTGATTTGTTTTTTCTAATTTGTGGTGTGTTAAAAGGTGAGGTCTCTGTTGTGTTCAAAAGAACTTGGATACAACAGACACCTCATTTATTAAAAAAAAGAGAAACTGTCTGAATCATAGCACAATGGAAAAGTTAATAAGATTTAATACAATTTTGTTATTTTCTGCTGCCTTTCGTTTCATTTCTGACTTGTATTATTTGTTGTGTATATGTTTTGTTTTTAAATAAAAAATAATAAATTTACTAAAAGTTGTTTTTAAGTTCAAACTAATAAAAGTGTGTCTAATATCATCAGCACCATCTCAAAACCACACAAGCACATTCACATCAATACTCTTTCCCTATTTTTCTCCATGCACTGTCCTTTTTTCAGTCTATCAAATGATCAGTGATGATTCTATGATTGAGAGAGATTAAAATTATATTCATATCATATTTACACTTAATTTATGGTCATCATAAACACACACATGCATTTTTCTTTATTCAACTTAAAGCTTCATTAACAAGTCACGTCATTATAAACTACTTCACACTTAATGTCCACTTGATGGCGCAGTAGAGCAAATGAAGCATGACGAGGCTTCGACTCGTGTCGACCAGTTGGATAGAAAGCTTCATCTCACCATCACTAATGTTTAGTTTTGTACATTTTTAAAAATATATTTTAACACAGACAGAGCCGTTTTATTTCCACACAAAGCATTCTGGGTAAATGATGACGTGGATAGGTCCTCGGTGCGAGGCTGCTAGCGAGCTATATCCACCCTGAAGGATATCTGATGATCGACTCTTAAATGAAACCAGAGAGCGTTGACAGAGAGGAGAAGGTAGAAATGACTCAGCCTGGAACTGAAAATATGAATGGAGGACAACAGAGCTGCTTCATGGAAGAACAACCTCAGCTTAGCCTGTTAGCCGTTATGCTAGCGTGACAAACAAGCTAACCTGTTGTCCTCCATCCATATTTTCAGTTGCAGCTGAGTCATTTTTGCGTTCCCCTCTCTGTCATGTGGATGGAGGACCTCAGTGATGAGAGGAGAATGTGTAGCACTGAGCTTATACATATATATGCTGATAGCATTGGCGCCAATGCTAAAGCTAACAGGCTAAACTGAGGTTCTTCTTCCATGAAGCAGCTCTGTTGTCCTCCATCCATATTTTCAGTTSCAGGCTGAGTCATTTCTACCTTCTCCTCTCTGTCAACGCTCTCTGGTTTCATTTAAAAGAGTCGATCATCAGATATTGTCCAAGATTAACCTTCAGGGTGGATATAGCTCGCTAGCAGCCTCGCACTGATGACCTATCCACGTCATCATTTACCCAGAATGCTTTGTGTGTAAATAAAATGGCTCCGTCCGTGTAATATATTTTTAAACTTTTAGTTTAAAAATGATAGAAACTAAACAGCCTACAGTATTTTTACAGTCTTTATTTTACAGTTAAAATATATGTTTATTAAATAAAGTCTAATGTTACAACTCATCATGGATCCTTTTAAACATTCTGTTGGACTTTAACCTTTCTGTTGTTCTCACAGGCAGAGGCGCTGGTGGAGTATCTGGAGGAACCATTAACTCAAGTGGCAGCGTCGTCGTAAAGACACAACCGAAGCTCGACATTCTGTCTGCCTGGAATAAAAACAGAAATCTAATCCAGTCCCTCCTGGACTCCTGTAACCCTGACTCTTCAATAAGTACACGGCCCGTCACGTCTCAGGTGTGTGTGCTTCTGAAAGTACCTGCTTTCATGTAAATAGTCAGGTGGGCGTCGTCTGTTAAACCTGCTGAGAAGTGAATCAGCGTCGGTTTATTCTTTTACAGTTTTGTCGTTCGAGGCCAAGCTTCAGGAGCTAAAAGCTTTGGTGATAAATGTGTGGAAACATTTGTAAGATTTTGTCTAAAAACTGCAGTTAAGATTATTCACCTGTGCTTTATTTCAAACGTGTTAAATAAAGAAAACACTGGCTAAATGTCACATGTCCTTGTTTTATTAAAAAGCTGCTCTGAGCCACTGCAAAGATGAAGGTGAGGTTTTATTTTGAGGCTGAACCATCAAATTAATGAGAATCCTGCAAATGTTTTCTGTTTATTTGGGAAATTATTGATCTCATATAAAGTTCTTTGAGTTTTTATTCAGGTATTTATCGAGGCATTAAAAACATATTTCTTATGTTTGTATATAAATCCTGTAAGATTTAGATTTGGTAGGCGCTGCCCTTTTTAGCATTTTCAAATTTGTTAAATTGTTAAATATTTATGCACAGGTTATATTTATTAGATTCAAAATGAAGCTAATGATTCTGCTTTCTTTCATTCTTTTCATTTATTTCATCTCCTTTATTTAACCAGATTTAAAAAAAACAGCAAGAGCTCTGTGATGCCAGTGGTGGAGCCAGACATTTTTTTTCATGGGTGGCCACACGGGGACCACTACTCACACAGGGGTGGCCACACGGGGACCACTACTCACAGGGGTGGCCAGGAAAATTACATCATTTTTTACTTGAAAGTTTCTGCAGATCTTTGAGTTTTGATCATTTCATTATGTCCTTATACAGGCAGTGAGAACCTTATAAACATGGTGTCAGAACCATTTTAAAAGTGTGGGGACACACTGTTGAGGGGTCGGAGGGTCCTCCCCCAGAAAATTTTGAATGAAATAGATGCGATTTCCAGCATTCTGGTGTATTTTACCAGGTTGTTTAACATACATTTACCTGCATAAATAAACACTTGATTTAATAATTATTTCATAGACAGATCCTTCATTAAACTAGTTTCATTATACTGTTTTTAAACTCACTGCTACAGCTGAGATAAGGTAATTAATGTGATACAATTTATCATATCTAATGACTTTAGGGGTGCCTTTGACTTTTATATGGTTTATTGATTTATTTTTTATTTTAACATGTCATTGTGCCAAATAATGATGACCTTCAACAGCATGTATAAAACTAATAATAATTTTACCCAATGAACAGGTGCAATATTGATAAGCACCAACAGTGAATTTAGAGGGATGTTCCACTTTTTCTGATTTAGTGATGTGTATACTCAAAACTAAAAGGGACAGAGCATCATGCAACCTTCAGAACATAAAATGACACTGTGTTATGATGACAAAAAACAAAACAAAAACATTTGTCACCATGAGTCTGATTACGTAGGTATATGTTCTGTATATAAAGAAAACAATCACAGTTTGTCATTTCTTTGAGCTTGGTGATGTTTCAAACTGTTAATCACTGCCACCAACTGTTCAGGAGGGTTATTACACCCCTAAAGGTTGTTTCACTGTGGAAGGGGTGTGCACTGCAAGGTGGCCAATAGGGTGGCCAAAGATTTGTCTGTGGTGGCCATGGCCACCCCCTGGCCACCCCTTGGGTCTACCCCTGTGTGACGCCTGTCATAAACCAGTGATCAAAACTAAGAACAATTTAGGGGAAAAAATGTACCTTTAGAAATTATTTTCAAGGTAAAGATCAACCACAAACAGAAAACACAATGTTTGATTTGATTAAATATTGTTCAATGTCAGGCTCAGAATATATGTTGAAGATGATTCTCAGCTACTACCACACCAAAACTGACTGATCTGGAGCCATTTTTGTGTTTTTAAGGTCATTTGAGAAAAACACATTGAGACGCAGACAAAAACAATTTGTTCCACCAGGAGGCGCCTGACATTCCTCAGGTGTACCTGCCACTCACCCCACCTGTCCAACCTGCCCTGCTGACTCAGCCTCTGAGACACGCCCCCCATGCTCTGCCTGAAGCCCCGCCCACTGCAGCACAACAACCTGGATCCACTGAGGGTGTCTGTGTTCAGTCAGGAGGCTGGTGAAGGGCAGACAGCCGCTGACGGGCGTCCATGTGGCATCTGTGACCGCCGGGTTCAAAGGTCAGGCTGGTTCAGGCTCAACATCCTTTCCTCCTGCCTTCAGACTGCAGCAGACACACACCTGAGGGGGGGCGGTGCTGCATGGACACAACATGGGGTCAGATGAAGCCTACAACTTTGTCTTTAAAGGTGAGTACATGTCCTCTCCTCTCCATTTCATCCCTGCTCGTATTTTACAGGAATCTGAAAGTCGTTGTGTTACAACAAGCCTTTGACTATAGTTTATTATTAACCTCACAGTTTCCAGGACTGAGTGTGGCGGCTGTCAACACAATGCAAAACATTAGTAATAAACAAGGAGGCCTATGAAACCAGCTCAGATCTCTGGATCCTTACAGGGAAAGTTTTACTTCAGGTCCAGAGTTGCATCACAGCAGAGCTGAATGTGGTGACCTCATCACTTCTGCAGACTCTCTGAAAAACAAAAACACACAATACAGAGTGAAGAAAGTCTGTGTGCTAAACTGACTTGTTAAATTTTAGAAAAGGAATAGCGATTAAATATGAGGTGCAAAACACTAGAAGCTAAAAGACAAAGCAAAATGCTTAAAGATTGAAGCCAAACATGATAAATTATAAATTATTGGTGAATGAAACAATACCTAAAAGTAGCTAAAAACTACCTAAATGATAAATGTAGTAAAAGGCTAAATAATAGCTAAAAGTGGCAAAAGCTGACAAGAACCTAAAAGCATCAAATTAATAGTTAGAAGCTAAAAGGAGAAACATTTGAGCTAAAAGCTAAAAGTAGCAAAAGGCTACATAAATATAACAAATATCAAAATGCTAGCTCGAAGCAAAAAGTAGCAAAATATTAGCTGAAAGATAAATGAAGGGCTAGCTAACAGGTAAATGTAGCAAAAAATTAGCTAATGGCTAAAAGCACCAAAAGGCTGGCTGAAAGCTAAAAGTAGCAGAACAGTAAAAACAGCCGAAGAGGACAAAATCAGAATAAGTTTGAAACAATGTTTGTAAATGTATTGAAGAAAAATCATGAGCCTTTTGTAAAAACTTTCTTTAAATAAAAAGTGTAAAAACAAAGGTTGTAGCATCCATCTCCTAAATAGCTGCACACAGTGGCGCCTGCAGAATTTTTTATTTCCAGGGTGGGGCCATGGGGGGTGTGTGTGTGGG